CGTGAATTAAGAATGTTTTWAAAATTGCTAGTTAGATGTGGTTGGTATTATTCCAGGGCAAAGTAAAGTAGTTGCCCTGAAATCCTGCACAGCCCCTAATAATGTTCTTCTGGCAGCAACGACAGTGCTCCCTGCAGCTTTGTTTGTCTGTCAAGATACTTACGGGCTAGCGACTCTCCCGATGGCCTTCTCTGTATCCCTTTCCATGCACTATTTAACAGAATCCCAGCATCACAGAATGGTTGAGGTTGGAAAGGATCTATAGGGATCATCTAGTCCAACCGCCCTKCTCTAGCAGGGACACCCTGAGCACGGGGCACAGGGTGGCATCCAGGTGGGTTGGGAAGATCTCCAGAGAAGGAGACTCCACAACCTCCCTGGGCAGCCTGTTCCACTGCTCTGTCACCCTCACAGGAAAGAAGCTCTTCCTCATATGGAGATGGAACTGCCTGTGTTTTAATTTCCACTCATTATCCCTTGTCCTGTCATCGGCCACCACAGAGAAGAGTTTGGCCCTTTTCTCCTTGCGTTCTCSCTTCAGGTACTTATACATGTTGATAAGATCCTGTTTCAACCTTCTCTCCAGGCTAAACAGGCCCAACTCACTCAATCTCTCCTACGAGAGATGTCCTTAATCATCTTAGTTGCCCTTTCCTGGACCCTCTCTAGAAGCTGCATGTCCCTCTTGTCCTGGGGAGCCCAGAACTGCCCCCAATACTCCAGGTACGGCCTCACCAGAGYTGAGCAGAGGGGCAGGATCCCCTCCCTTGACCTGCTGGCAACACTGCTCCTGATGCAGCCAGGATCCCATTGGCCTTCTTGGCCACRAGGGCACTGCTGCCTCATGGTTAACTTGGTGTCAACCAGGATTCCCAGGTCCCTCTCCATGGAGCTGCTCTCCAGCAGGTCGACCCCTAATCTGTACTGGTGCCTGGGGTTATTCCTGCCCAGGTGCAGGACCCTGCACTTGTCCTTGTTGAACCTCATGAGGTTCCTCTCCACCCAACTCTCCAGCCTGYCCAGGGCCCTCTGAAAGGCAGCACAGCCSTCTGGAGTGTCAAGCACTCCACCCAGCTTGTATCATCTGTAAGGAACAGAAGGAAAATATTTCTTGCCTGAAATTCAGAAATTTTGTCCATAAATTATGGATACATGTTCTAACTTCATCAGCAATGCTAAGGTTCAAACTGGTACCTTTCAGTCACATTTATTTTTATTCATCCATCCAGATTTCAAGCATTTTTGCCTGTCTTTACACTAAATCCTGTTAACTGGAATAGATTTCCTTTCTCTCATCTTGCCAATGAGAAACTTCTTGGTGCAAGTACATTTGCCAGCCGCGCTTTATATGACTGGAGTGTTAAGCTTTCCGTTCTGAGAAGGTATCTTGCCATTTAATAGCTGATACCATCCATCATCTTCGCCTTTGCAAGCAGTCCTTGAGAGCCTGAACAGTGTGTGCAAGCCCGAGAGGGCAGCTGGCTGAAATGCTGTAGGGTATCTGATAAATCACTGATGAATCAGGAGTTAACATTTCACTTCCAGGCTTTTCTGTTGAAGTGGAATTAGCTGCTTTYCTGGATTGCAATGGAAAAAAAAGGGGGGAGGGAGGGAATAGAAAAACGATTTTTGGTGGTCTGAATAGGCAGAATATACTTTTATTAGCAAAGCTCCCTGAAATCAACAGAACTGGACAGCATTGCACTTGTTGGGGATTTCTTGCTAGGTGCATCTTAGTAACTATAATTGATATGAGGAAGAAGAGAAAATAATAAATAAGTGTACCAATAAAAGCTTGTGGCCTTGGTCATGGATTTCATCGTAAGTTATTGTTCTACAGAGTCCTCTTAAGTGGTGCATGAAAACCAGACCACAGCTTTCTGAGGTGATCTGATTTGTCTTAAAATAGGAGTTAAAAACTACAGACTGCTATGGTGTGTTGCCTCTCTAATAAGATTCCTGGCAGATAGTGGCAATCACAGAGAATATTTAGATTACTTTTGACTAGACTAATTTTTTTTTGTATAGGCAGTGCAAATATTCCAGTTCTGTAGATTAATCTTCATCTGTCTTTAATTTCTCGTGTCTTTTGGATACAACTTTTCAATTCTGCACTTTCTGCAATAGTCAACAGCCCTCTAAAATACTGAAAGGTCCATTGGCTATTCCTCCTTCTCCACGGTGCATTGCTTTGCACAGTACTCGTGATTGCTCACCATGCCTAGAACCAGTGTAACACATGGCACTTACCTCAGAGACGCTATGTTTTTAAAATAACATTTTATTGATTTGTACTGTATTGCATAGGAACAGGTACGATGTTTATGTTGGTATCCTATGACCTTCTGGGATATTGCCACTTCATTTATAGATCCCAGAACACCCTGACAGTAGTGGTATGTTTGTGAAATTCATTACTGGGATACATTTTACCAGTGACCTGTTCCATTTTTGTTGTAGGTCAGAGAACTTGAATGGAAAATGCTATAGATCAAGCTTGGCAATGTCAACTTCAAAGGGGTTTGGTACAGTAAGCAAACAAGACAGTTCTACCAGATTAGAAGTGTACAGATCAGTGGTCTAGAAAATGTATGCATTTCTCTGCATCAGTGATCTATAAGGTATTCCCTTTCTGTACCTGACTTTGTTGAGATTTGGTTGTCACCCTTAAGCAGAGGTATACAAAAAGGTGGGGTGTTACACTGTCTCAAAAGCCATGATTCTTGTACCCAAACCCACTTTAGTTGTTCTGAGAACACCAGAAGGAAACTGTGAGAAGTAAAACTCAAGGATTAAAGTACTGCATTCCCTGAAGGCAGCTGCACACAAGCAGGCTCTTTTGGAAAGCATGAGAACAAACTGCTTTCAGAAGCAGATTTTATGAAACCCAAAGTCACCCAATTATTATGGGGTGAGTTTGCAGGGGTTGTGCTGAGCTATAAGAGAGCTAGAGCTCAGGTCACGTGTTTACAACTCTTCGGATTTCACTTCCATGACTGCATTCGTGTGTTCATGGCCTTAGCCAAGGAAATGAGAAGATTGTCCCTTCAGACATCAGAACTGATGCCATAGGAGGCAGTCACTTCTGTGTCCCCAGCTGGGAGAACAATTTTCATAAAACTGCAGACCTGCAGGAAGTGATCTGCAGCACATACACACAAAGGCAATAGGTGGAGATTTTTCACGGTATCTGTCACATTGCTTTCAGGCCACTGCACATTTTCCATTATAAAAAAAAAGATAAATCAGGAAAAAAAAAAAAAGATATATATAGCTATAACGTTTGTTGTCCATCAATGATTGCAGCAGTTAATTGTCAACCTACTATTCTGTCAATCAGCACCAACAATAAAATGTAGAATCTTTTGTTCCTGTCAGTTTGTACATGAACAGGTGGGTACTTGTGGGAAGGAGTTTGCTGGTCCAACATGGAGACTTGTCTCCTGAGTGTTACTTTTGTTTTAATCATTCGAAGCTGAAAGGTTTTTCTTAATCAAGCGATGTTTTCTGCTAGTAGCATTGTAGCAAATGTCAAAAAAAACTCCACACATACAATGAAAATGCCACCGAAGAATTCAGCCCTTCGCTTTCAAAACTCTCTTTCCTGATGCTCCCATCTCAGCTCGGGATTTTCCCTCCATTAGAGTTTCTGAGTGAGCTGATATTAATGATGGGGAAAAGTGTCACTCTCCCTGTCTGACTTTACCCATTCCTACAGTGAGAAGTGTTCTTGCTCTAGSTGGTAATGGGCAGCCATCCATCAATTCAAGTGGCAGAAAATTGTTCTTCAGGCCCTGATCCAAATACCTAGTTGYGCTGGGACTAACTTGAAGAATTTTATGTGGTTTACATGTTTCCTAAATGGGAGAGTCATACATTAATGAGCAGATTTGAGCCTTTAATAACATTTTTTTAAAAAATACAAATCTCTATTCCATTTTTTTTTGTGGTTCATTTCAGCTGGTCTCTAGCAGGTTTGCTAATCTGATGTATATGTAGATAGGTTTAATACTGATTTATTTTAATAATGGATAGAAATCAAGCTGTAGTGGGATAAAACCCTCCGCATGAATATTTCCCATTTGAAATGTTTCTAACCATTTGGATATAGTAATTAATTGGAAATATGTGCTTTATCAATATAAACTAAGATTAAACTAGTCAATTTGAATTTGTCCAGCAGTGCAAATAACGGTGTTTATCAGTCCCTTACATAAATAGGAGCAGCTTTGTGCATGAATTGGATACACTGGTTTAAACCAGCTTGCTGCAGTTCTGTGTGGCTTAGTTAAGTAGGCAGGTGCAAGCTGAATAAATACATCCAATGTTAAATTCCTACAAAAGAGTCCTCATACAAATCACACTGGCATAACTAGATTTAATTTCAAATCACCCCAAACAAGGCTTCATCTTGCACGTCCAYAGCAGAATTTTAACCAGTATCAGTCAGTTGGCCTTAAAACACAATTTAATGAATGAAAACAACTCAGTATAATCAAGGAGTTAGATCACTTTACTCATGTAACCTGGCTCATAGCTTAGGCTCAGTTTGCATGCTTAGTAATGGATCTCGTAACACCGATCCTGCAGAAATTAGGTCTATTTGCSCACTTTCTGTTCCAATGCCAAGCACCGCGCACTGGGTCGCATTAAGGCTGTCCCATATAGACAGGTGATTCAGTGTGCAGCTGGCGCGCTCACAGCCGGCACACACAGTTAAACCTGGAATGAGGGATACATTACTTACTACAAGGACCGTCTTACTACAAGGACTCAGGAAGAAGAAGTTCTTCTGTGCCCAGTGGCATGTACCCTWCTGGCTTGCAAGGGCTGAAGTCTATTCCCCAGACACTGACAGTGCTGACCTGCTGGGGAGGATGGACCTTGCTTAGATCGGGACTTTCTCAGCTAAAGGTATGTAACCGTTCTCTTTTGGTCCTAGGCAAGTGAAACGCTTTGCTGGTCTGTGGGCACCTCGGTGCTCCGGGTGCTGCTGCGTGCTGGCTCGCCCTGCTTCAGGCTGCYGAATACTTGGATTCGTCAGGACGGAGTTTCGTAAGCTTGTCCACGCAGAGCAGGATGAGAGTGAGGAACCAGAGGCTCCAGCCAACGGCAGCTGCGATCCAGCCGTAGTCGTCCATGCCCGACGGGCAACACAGGGCAGCTTGCGAGCAGAAGTTTGCTCCTGCAGGCAAAGAGAAGGAGGTGAGCCGAAGCAATGCCAGGGGCATGGCAGGCTTTTCCTGGCTGGAAAGTGGATGAGAAATGGACTTCCCTGTCAGCCCCAGTGACCCATCACAGCCTTTGCATCTCTCCCCTAAGCCTGGTTCTAATTTGGGAGGTAGCAAAATTTAGCTTCATCTGTGCATCTCCAAGACTGGTCATGTCTGTCGTTCCTGGCTGGCCAGACATCTGAGCTGGTGTGTTCATCACTGCCCATCATTACTGAAATCTTTTAAAAACACTTACTTAGCATCTGCTTAGGCAATTTTAGGAAAGGCATATGATGGAAGTGGCTAGTTACAATTGAAATTAAATGTAGGGTAGGGAAAGAGAGTTTCTTGTGAGAGAGGAGGAGGATCTTGGAAAGAAGCAGGTTCTGCAGGATTTCTAGTATTTTAGGTGCCCAGTGTCACTGTTGCCAATGGAAGCAGCTCGTGCTCAGTGCTGGGCCGTGAGCTGTGCCTTCCTTGTGTTCTGCACTGGTGCAATTCCCTGCTTTCCCTGATTGGAATGGAAACAATTTTTAACTATGACATGATTTTTTTTCTTGAATCATTTGCATCTTTTTATTGTCTAAGTTTTTAAAATCAGTTAAGGAATTAGGTGTGCCTGTTGCCTGAGCACTGTAAAGAACCATTCTTTCCACAGCAGAAAGCAAATGTCTTGCATGTGCCTCGAAAAGGGATAGGGGACGYGTGTCCCCTCTATCTATGCCGTGCTTCGGGGTCCATGCATCTTTTGGTGCACGTAATCTGGGAAATGCTGGCCCTTGTGCTGTTTGGGGTGGGGGCGACTCTGGGAGGGCTGGTGGGATCTCAGATTGTGTAAGGTTGGCTGAGGAAGGTCTCCTGTGTGGGRGTGAGCAGTTCCTGAGAGTCCCCAGTGTGCACGTGGATGCCTGGTATGGAAGGGAGCACTAGGATACACGAACCAGCCAAGCTATAAACTTGTCTATTCAAAAATATAAGTCCATCTGAACGTATCTTGGATATAGTGGGCGTACCAATGGAAGAATTTTAAAGTGCATCTCAGTATTTCACCCACAACAGAAACTTTTAGTTCAGTGCACGGCAATGAGCAAGTCTTCTCTAGAGCAGCCTCCCAGTGACCTGTGTGGTCTTATTACCTGGCTTTATCATGGTTGTAATGACTTCAGAAGACTTACTAAGGCACGGTGGTTCATACTCGATCTCAGGCTTGAAGTGTGTTGAAACATYGATGCCTTCTTCAGCTCAAGAGAAAGCACAAGAGAAAAGAGAATTTGGATTAGAAATGTAAAATCAGATATTGACATGAACAGCTGAAAGCTGGGGACCCTGGAGGGATCACAATGTGTCAGCATGATGGAAAACATCTTGGAGGAAAAAAGGTCCCCTCTCCCAAATGTTGTGTCATCAAGATAAGCTTCCTTGACCTCATTGCTGTCAACAGGAACCTAAAGAGAATTGCATGGGCATCAGCCATAACAAGTGGTTAAATCATTGTGCTTTGTTCGGGTACGACCCTAGTGGTATGAGACGTTCACTCAGAGCCCACGTTTGTGACCATCCTTTCCAAGGGAGCTCCYAGTCTACATGGGCAGAATGAGCAAGGACTGGAATGAGAGAAAGCGTCCAGGGGCACAGGGAGATCTTGAGCAGTGAGCTGTTAATGCACCACTGTTTGTCCTTAGAAAAATATCCCTGGCTTCCAGGGTCAAAAGGAAGCTGTCAGAGCAGAGAACTTAGCCTATCAGTGCTGCATCCCTGCAAATTCGCTGTACCTTTGAGAAGCCTAACTGCACAGGTAGGAGATTAAACTAATCTAATTCTTGACCTTCTTGAAGTTCAGACTCAGCTGTATCTGACAGCTGTTCTGCTTTGGTTCCAGGAACCTGAACATGTTGAAAAATACAACTTCTAGAAATAGGTAAGCCTATGGGACAGGGAGGGCTTCAGCCAAGAAAGCTGTTCTACTTCCTAGCCAGGATTAGAGCATCCTGCTGGGCACTGCAGCTGAACTCCAGCCATCTAAATGACTACCTAGTGTCACAGGCCAAAGCCTCCTAAAGACTTCTACAGTGTCAACACCAACCAGAGCTGCACGATTGGGTGCAAGAACAACTGAAGGATCCTGAGTGGGAAAAGTGCAGGATGCTGCACCAAGGAGTGTGCAGAGAGCAATAAAACACCTTGTCCTTTGCTGCAGAAGGAAGGGAGTGAAAGAAATAGCTAGTCCCGTGCCATTAAGAGCACCTGTGTCTGACCAGTCATAGAAGGATCTGTAAGCTGAAACTGTCCCCTGCAGAGACAATCTGGAGAGACTGCTGAAGTCAGGGATCCTGCTAATGGAGAGACTCTGCCAAGCAGGGGCTATGAGAGAAAGTCATTTGCAAACAAACCTTTGCTTTCAGCTGCAAACTGGGAGTGTAATAGGGATAGAAATTCCATTCCAGCTTCATTTCACTTGAAGTCATCCAAACAAGTCTTTTGTGTTTAGTTTCAGCTTTCAGGCTAAAAAACCAGTGCAAGACCCTGGAACAACCTTTTGATTTGAGTGATAGTAAATAAACTGATACTGTCCTGCGAGAGTTGTTGGCTTTGGGGTTACCTGCTGTTGTCCCGATTTTCATTTCGAGATGAGTGTCAGCAAGATRTGATCTTTTCTTACTCTTACTGTGATGCGGAGAGTGGGTTCCCTTGCAGCCCACTTTAGGGAAAGTCATGAATACTTTTCATTCCTCCTTCTATCTCAGGATTTGCTGTATGACCTTGCCCAAGTCCGTTCAGTGAGAGCTAGTATTTCTTTTCTGAGTTAATAAATACCTCACAGRAGCACTGAGAAGGATCATTAAAAATATGCAAAACTGTGCATGACCTGCAGAGGAAAGTGCTGGGGAACAGAGGCTTAGTTCTTAGTTCCCATTTGTAGACTTTGCTGCCCAGAGGACAGACTGCCAGAGCAAACCCATCTTCACAAATCTGGCAGTTCTCAAGTGCTGCTGATAGACAAGTGCAGGCAGTGTCCTGATGGGAAAAGAGCAGCTCACGGGTCTCATTTACATTTTGGTTTTAGGCAGTCTCTCTAATTATGAGGCTAGTAAAGCCAGGTTTTCTGCAAAAAGTGCCTAATAGGAGCTAAACGAGATTACACAGACTCTGCTGAGTGATATTTCAAAATGGTCCCTGCTGCTGCTAGTATGTGGGAGCCAAGAAACAGGTCTGTGACTGGGACCTCTTGTCTTCTTGTAATTCAGTAGAGCAAACTGCAGCTCAATCCCATTCATAGTTGATGGGAAAATCCCTGGCAAAACCAAGTCTCTTCAGAAAGATGCTGTGATTGATCAGATTAAGTAATCCTCACTAGCATCACTCAATTCCAGCTCTTTACCCTCCTTACACAAGACAGAGGAGCCCACCCTGCTTCTCAAGATCAAATCACTGTCATCAGGCAATATATTTAGGTAGGAAGAAGCGTGGAGGGCAAGGCAGGGCACAGGGAGGAGTAGGAGAGGAGAAATACCTGCCGAGGAGGCGCACAGCGGAGCGGTGGCGAGCAGGAGCACGGCGAGGGCTGCCCAGGGCTCGCGGCTGCAGCACTTCATGCCGCCGGCTGTGCCACCTGCGCGGATCAGCTCCTCGCTCGCTGCGGCAGCTCCGTTCAGCAGCTCCTCGGGCGCTCCAAGCTGGGCGCCGAGGGTGGAGCGAAGGAGCCTCCTGCTGCCAGGACACTGTGAACTTTCCTGTTGCAACAGGACGATGAAGGAGCACAGCATCGACCGCGGCAGCCCGGCCTCCAGCAGGCTCCRGCAGGAGCTGGATACCCACGTGGCAAGAGCTGGATACCTCCAYGGGTGGAGGTCCCCTGAAGGACAACCCTGAAGATTTCTGTCCGGTATCTGCTGCAGCTTGAAGGAGGAAGAACCTCCTGGAGCCAGAGCCTCCTGGCAAGTCCCTGGTGGCTGCTTTTGGCAGCATTTCCTTTTGCTCTCACGTCTGTGGTCTGAAAGGGCTGGGTAAGATGCAGAGGACAAGGGTAGAGAATTCCTTTCCCAGTTTTGTGCTGATATTACACTATTTTGGGTTTTTTTTTTTTGTTTGTTTGTTTGTTTGTTTTTAAGTCAGCTGGCAAAGAAGCAGTCTTACACTGGTGTAGCAGCTGCTGGGTTAACATTTGTTTGTTTGTTTTTAAGTCAGCTGGCAAAGAAGCAGTCTTACACTGGTGTAGCAGCTGCTGGGTTAACATGGTGCGTAGGTACTTGCCCCCAAGCTTCATGCAGGCAACTGGCACCTATTGCACAGATCCCCCTCTATATGGACTGGGATCAGTTAAAGCTCGGGGTCTTGCTGTGCAGGAGAAGCTGTTGCTGCTGTTCTCATGCTAGCCTGGCTGTGTCGGTGCTGCTCCCTCATGGACACGCAGCGTGGGGACTGCAGCAGGTTCTCCTTGTGCCACAGTTATGCCACCCCTGCCAGGCACAGGCAAAGCCAAGAGCTGCTGCTCTCTGCAAACCGGGAGCGTTGCTGGCAAAGTGGTGTCAGCCACAAGGTGGGAAGTTTCCATAGCGTTTGCTGGAAAAGCTACACCATGGAAATGTTTGTGTATTGCCTTGGGCTGAGAAGTGCTGCATGACAAGCTGTCTGAGGCCTGTGCAGGCCGTGCAGAAACCCCCGTGAGGTGCCACACAAGTAGGGGACAAGTGGGAAAGATTCTGGGGCAGATCACTCAAATACGATGGACACTATCTTCATATTTTCTTTTTTTCCCCACCTGGATGAAAGCAACAATGCTTGTCGGGCTATGGGAGCTGGTTTGGTCCCATGGTGGCTACCTCCACACACAATGGCTCCCACTGCCCTTAGCTGTCTTGTTCCCACCACTGGCCACCATCAGGATAGACAGTGTGTGGGTTCTTCACCGTCCCATGTCCGTTCATCCCATTGCCTCTTGGGGAACATGAAGCCATGCCAAGAGGGGTGGAGTATCATCATCAACCTCACATCTGGGCAGCTGAAAACCCTTGTTTCTTTACAAGCTGGTATATTTCCATGAAACAAAAAACATAGTCAGCCTGAGAGAGAGAACCCTTGGAGAAAGGACACGCTAAGTTGCTGATAAAGACAGGTCAGCTGAGATGGGTGTGTTTTAGACCTTGTTCCTCTGTTTTCATGTCAACATGCCCATGGCAGCTGGAGGAGCCAGCTCTGCTGCCASGCAGCCTGTGACAGCCTGCTCCTGTGGCAGCCTTCCTTGGTGTGGGCTGCCCTCTCCTCCTGGTGCCACCCAAGGGGGCATCGAGGTACGTCCTGCTTGACTGTCAACAAAGCCAGATGCGTGACCCAAGCAGTGATCGCTTAGTAGCCTGCTGGATATGAATCACAGGAGATGATTAGCTCAAAAAAAATACTCTGAGCATTCAGGATTAGTTGTATTTAGCCTATACAATAATCTTTATATCTCTTTAATGTGTCCAAGTCCTCGTATGTTAATTTTATTTTAGTCTGTTCTTATCTTAGCACTGTTATATCAAAAAGGAGACTGAATTATTTACTGGGGAAGAGCACTGTGCTTTCTTTCAGCTTAGCCTTTCCCTTCTGAATTTCTCACCTGTGATTGCTGCTGAAAGTTGATCTGGCAATTAATACTGCAAGAATGATGAGGACAAAAGTGTTTTGTGCAACAGGAAATGTCTGAAGGGAAATAAAAGAAGAAACYGCACTGCTGTTACATGAATGATTTAATTTGTAACGAAACATCTTTTGTATGTTAAATATTACCCAAATGCTCTTTGTCAGCTTGCAGTTAAAACATGCCCATTTCTGAGGGAAGCTGAAAATGATTTGCACAATTATCATTATGTATTTTTTTGCTTTGCTGAATTATTTTTCCCACATGGTTCAGAAAGAGCCTGTTCCAAAGTTCTTGAAGCAGTGAAAAGGCTGCCCTCAGTGATTTTTAGGTAGGATTGAAGAAGAAGGCTTTGTTGATATATTCAGGCACAATAGCACCTGTATAAATTCATTGCCTGATACAGATTTGGTTTATTTCATTCTTTACATGTAAAAAATTCACATTTCAGTGGTGAGACTCTCCAAAGTCCATGGAGTCATCAAACGTGGTAAGACTGAAGTTTTCCATAGTTTGGTTTCTACACATCACATGAACTCCTGYCTCCACAGAGGTGTCCTGGCATGCAAAGCACAGACCTCATCAACATGAGACATGAGTCCCCCTTTGCTTCAGCTTTCACTTCCATGTAGTTCTCAATGCACAACTCAATTTACTTTAAAAGCATGTAACCCTCTCCCAGGAAGAGCCTTTGGTCAGCTTTTTCTGATCACTGTYAGGAAGCAGTACCTGCCATTTGGTATTTTGGCCTGAAAACACCTGTATACTCATTAAATTCCCATGCTACTGAAAATTAAGACCCAGGTTGAAGGATTTGTGCATTTGGGACTTCCATTAGTCTTGTGTATTGACACTAGGGCCCTACACGGAAGCAAGCTCACCAAAGGGATCTTGAGTAATAAAAGACAATGTGAGGTGCTGTGGGCTAGCAGTGATATCCCAGGAGTGACTCTGTCTTTTATACTTGTTTTGTAGACAACAAAACCTCCCAATGCAGCTCTAGACAAAGTATCTACTAGGATGTCAGGCTATTCTGTGGTGTGGCATGATTTTCCTCTCATAGTGACCTTTATTTATAAGGAGAAGACCAGGGTGCTTAGGGAAATGCCCAACWTCAAGCAGATAAATTCAACTATGCTGTGTGATCAACAGAGAGAGGGTTGTTTTGATTGAGTTCTTAAATGAAAATGAAGAGTGTCCATTTAAAGAAAAACTGTCCAGCTACCCATTAGCAGGAAATTTGATTTTTAAAACTAGGAAAATTGAGGGAGAAAAAAAAACAAGAACTGTTCCGGTGTTCTAAGTGCTATAGGATATGCTATAGGATATGCTATAGGATATGCTTTCTAATGCTGTCCTCTGCCTGGGAAAACTGTGGGGAATGGGTGAGTTGGATGGCCTTATTACCTTGCTTCAGATGCCCTCTTTGGTGAATGGCATCTGGTGCCTCTTGCAGCCAGGGTTTCTTTGGTGCTGAAGTAGCTCCTGCCCTGCCTGGCTCCTTGTGAGGAGCAGCTGAGTGTAGTAACTGGGTTGCTCCTCGATACTTCTGAGCAGAAAACCTATGTTGTAGAAAACCCACTATTGTTACCAACCTTTCTGTGTTGTGCCCTTGGGTAAGTTATTCCTGACTGCTTGTCATGGCATCATTGCCTAGGAAAACCAAGAAGGCATTTCTGCAATTACTAATTGACTTATCCYCCTGCATTATCATTAGCTTTATCTTCTTAAGAGATAAAACTCCTTATGGATGCTCCCCTTAACAGTGGCSCAACAACCCTTATTTAATGGAACAAAGCCTTCAGCTGTAGTTATGGTGTTATTTTATTAGGCATAGAATTTCCCTCATGGGCTGTTGCTTTTGCAGCCAAACTGGATGAGAGACTAGAGAACATCCTTTCTCCACCATGAAATATTTGGTATTTTGAGCAATAGGAATCAAGTTCCCACCTCTTGTCGTTGCCCCGCGCTAGCATTGCTGCCCTGGCAGACCCCCTTTCCTGGGGAGTTCACTGTGTAGCTCCACCAGTCCCTTAGCTGGATGAAATCAATGGTCTCTTATGGCCCTCGTGTCCTTCACTCCGTGTCTTTGCTCTTCTGCAGCACGGAAGTTTTCCACTTCCCTGGTGACTGACGCTCCATATAGTGCTTGCACGTTTTTATTGGGTTATAGACCTCAGAGTACAAGAGGTTTAAACGCTCTCGCCTGTTTCCAGAGTGCCTGGGCTGTGCGAGCAGGCACGCATGATTTGTTATTAATCCCAACAAGCTGCATGCTGCCACAACACCACTTGTTCCCGTCACGGACGGGACACGACAGATTGTGACCAAGCCAGAAAGCTCTGGGTCCYGGCCACTCTGGGACAGTTTGGGACAGGAAGCATTTCCCCTCTCTGGTCTAGACCAGTTCAAACCTCAAAAGAAAGGCTTTTCAGTGTCCTGTGAGGCCGGGGAGGTAACTGGGTGCTGCGCTGCTTGCAGCCAGCAGCCGAGTGGCCGCTGTGGGACGGCAGGAGCGGCGCCTGAGCCAGGTAAGCGCGGCCGCGATCAGCACCGAGCTCCGCGGCGCCCCCGAGCCGAAACGCCACAGCGGGGTGGGATCCCTGAGCCCTTTTGTACCTCCTYGCTGGTCCTTTGCCAAAGCAAAGAACTTGGGGACAGGGCGGGTTGTGAGAGCAACTGGGAGCTGCCTCTTGGGGATTGCCCCCTGCATGAGAAAGAGGCGAGGTGAGAAGGGTCYGCATGCCCCAGCACCAGCAGGGAAAGGCTTTTCTCATTTGAAAGAGGCTTCTTTTTTCCTTTTTTTTTTTTTTTTTTAATCTTTCTAAATCAAGACAAAATTTAGCCTGAGGGTTTTTTCCCTATGTGATTGCAAAGGCAAAAAAGAGAGTCCTTGGACTGGGTAGATTAAATCAGTTTAGTTAAAACATTTCAAAACATTTTGTTTGGGTATTCATCTTATAACTTTAAGACTTTGACATTTTTTGTTCATTACAAGTG